TCGCAGGCAGCTCCGACAGAACACAGACCAACTTTTACCTGCTGTCTTAACAGTGCGTTTTAGAAAATACTACAAATGGCGCTGTAAACGCCATCTGTAGCACGATGCTACATTTTAGGATTACGTATGCTCCAACAAGGTCCACTTGTGTACAGACCACTTCGAATTATTTTGATCTTTCACTCTCTTCTGTTTTCATTTCGTCCGTCTCATCTTTCTCATCCCAACCATCATCCACCCATTCTCACAATCCCTCAAAGGGGGGTGAAGGGGGCCTTCAGTTCTACCCTCCGACGTAGTCTTGAGGAACATTCCGCCTACCAGAATTAGTAGCTGATGGAAAAGTAACACCCAAAAGTTTTTTTAAAGTTTTCATGGTTCAACATTTGACTGAAACAATATTTTGATCTGACCGTGACTGGACCGTTGGCGTGAAACTGAAAGTGTACTTAATTCGACCCGGTACTACAGTTACAATTTTTTTTATGTAAGCTAATAAATAAAAAAGAAGATGCTGTGTAATGTTTCGGAAAGTTTTTTTTGTATGTATAGTTAAAGCGATTTCAGAGTTTTATGATAAAAGTTTTCTGAAACTAATTATTTTTTACACAATTGTATTTTATACTTTGCCCCGGAAAGTGTATGGTGACATCTTAATTTTCTTAAAAATGCTGAGATATTCCAACATCGTTTAACCGTTATGTTTAACTGTCATAATTTGGTAAATTTGATGTGCATCTTGTTGGATTTATATTATATTTTCATTAAGTAAATCTTCACCGTCACAAGCGAGAAGGCTGGTTGGACACACACCTCTACTTTTTCCTATTCTCTCGAAAACTACAGCATCTTGCATCTCCAAGTATGTATGAATAGTGGTCTCATTTAGGTTTTCCTCTGTTCCTCTTTACTTCCGTTTCTACCTTTAATTAGTGTCTAACTGTAGCCGTCATATCTCAGAAAGTGTCCTGCCATAGCGCCCTCTGTGTTCCTACTTCTTTCAATATCTCCTCATTTCTAGCCTTTTCAAATCTGGGTAGTTACGTTATCTGCCTATAAAATCATCATCTGAATTACGCATATCATTTCTGCTGTGCCTACCGTTTGCGTTTCGCACCCCTACACACTGTCACAAATGTACACTAAGATGATGATAAAATTCAATAATTGCGTTCTGCTTTTTATACAAACTGTCAACCTTCTACCTCTGCATCTCATCAGTACATTTGTAAGTATTGTCGCGTAATCAAACATCTTTCTCACTATTGACGAATTTATTTAATTATTTACTCTCTAATGTTCTAGATGTACGAATTCTATGTACGCGTTCTTTCTTTTTTGCTGCTCTTGTTTTCTTTGGCATTATCCATAAAGCCAAATAACTAGTGTTCGGCTAATATAAGAACATAGGCTTTCACGGCCGGAATCCATAGTAGAATGAAGATTCGAGCTATAGATAGATAGAACGTAGATTATATCTCGAAGTCTCGACAGCGACACACGTTGTCAACGCAGCACTGCCACTGAGGATGTCAGCCATAGTAGCTGACGAAACGTCTGGACAGAATAGTTCACTTAGACCACGGCCCTATAGCCCGAATCTTCATTCTACTATGTTCGGCTAATATTTCTTCCATGATTTTTTTCATCCTTTTCTGTGCTGTTTTACGTAGTCATAGTTTTTGACGCATGGGCAGTTAAGTTAAATTGTTCTAAAATTTTTCTTTGTTCAATAAATAATCTTTCCTTTCACAAAGGGTTACCTTTGTAATAATCCGGAATTTTTCCCGTCTCTTAAATGTGATTAAATAGTTCATACGATCTCCAACCTCTTGGCCTACGATGATATTAACGTTATCGTCATTATTAAAAGAATAGCTTTAAACAAACGCATTACGTTTCATTATCATAAGGTGGTCAGTCCTAAAATTGGTTAGACACGCTCCTCCACTTTTTCCTATCCTAAGCTAATCTTCGCATTTCCCTTAAACGATAACATCCGACAACCTTAACTATTTGTGAACACTAATATAATCTGGGTACTACTACTCTTTACTCCTGTTTGTGCTTCTAATATGTCTCTAACAAGCTCTTCACGTATGAGAAGATGTCCTATCAACATATCTTGCCTATTTATTATTGACTTCCTTGCTGACCTCTGTTCTCCTATTGTTTCTGGTACCTCCTTATTTCTAATCTTCTGTATGCATAGTATCCTCTTCACTTGTCTGTAACATCACTTTACTGTTCGTTTCAAGAAGTTGGAGATATGCCCCTTCCCTTTATTAGGATGCGCCGTAGCATAATTCAAGTTCAATCATATTTGTCTGCGGAGCTCATTTCTCCACCGATTATCGAGCGAGAACTAGACAAAAGTGTACAGTACCATTTGCAAAATTATTTAAACTGCCTCGTTAAAATTTAAGAATATGCTTTATTTAAAAGCATATTTAGCCAAAAATAATAACAAGTGAATTAACTTAACGCTCTACACACCTATAAAACTTTTGCTTTGTTTTCTATTGTTAATTTATATACATTTTTGTTTTAAGAAATTGCTAAACATTTTCGTCTAGTACTGTACAGTTCTAGCCGATCTCCTAAGACCGCCCATCGAGAGCTCTGCTCGTTCAAGCTTGTTCCAACTATTTCTGTCTTGCTCACGCCTAGTGTGTATTCTTTCTATCTTCGCGCAGATTTCTTCAAGGTCACAATTCTAACAAATTAAAATAGACTGTACATTTACTAAAATAATATTGCAGATTCATAAGCTGAAATGTTATGGCCCTATGGCGTTGCATTTGTATAGCAGCTACGTTTACGCACTCCTAAAATTGTTCTTTACGCTAATATGTATAATGAAGCATTAGACTGTTTAGGCCTGTCATATTGATTTTATTTTATGACGTCACAAAGACTTTTACTAGTAGGTGTTTTGTTTTTACAGGATGAAGAAATGGGCAAAATCTGGTGTTGATTTTGCCTGTCGCCGATTCTCTTGGCGGTACAAATTCATATTTTCTATTAATTTGGTTTTTGTGGGAACGTCGGCGCTTGCGAAGGCGCTTTTACCGGCAAACTGGCCGTCAGCGCTATTGCAGCAATGAACCCTCATTATCACCCCTATGGAGCCGGGCCGGAGCTCACGTCTCCGCATCCTCCATCACCAGACAATTATCCTTCATCGCATGGACCACATCCACACATGTTGTCCAGCAATGGACACGGAATCGGACTCCTCGGTAAGCACGAATATACTATTTTTAATTGCAATAGAAAAACAAGCTTATATCTATGGAGATTTGACTCGTGGGTGCATAGATACTACCACACTTGGCAACAGTGTTAGGGGGTTGGAGTGGCACACATGGGAGACGCAATGCGAAATTGTCGAAGGAACTATGTTTGTGCGATAAGTCCTATTGATCGAGCAGGTTCCTTAAAAAGTGCTATGTTTAGACTATCAATTGATACTTTTTTGGTTAATTCAATGAGTAAATTAGGTCTGTCGGTCAAGACTTGTCTCAACTGAACTGATTCTGCTGTTTACTATCAGTAGTACAATCAAAATTTTATATCAGTCACCACCGATGTAATTTCTGTTACATAATATGAATAGTATTGGAGCAATAAAACAGTGAAGCCCTATTAAGTTACGGTTGATTGTTTTATTAGTGTTGTTCAAAACAGTACAATTTACCTATTATCAGTAAAATCATGAAATCATTCAAAATTTTTTGTCATTCAAGAAAAAAAACGAAAGTATAGGTAATAAAAAATGTTTGCTGTCCCTGAGACGGCGTCCCCTATTGACATAAACAGGTAGCTAGTCTATCATATTAAGTTCATATCAACCAAGTATTTTTACAAATACTAAAAAGTAAGTCTATTTATAGGCTAAGTAGGTTTTTTATAAACCTTGAAATATGCAAAATGTGGCGCTGCTTCTATTTAACGTAGTCTGTCCAAAAAATACGGTTTCTAAGCTACTATAATAGGGTTAGATTGATCATCAAAGTGACTAAAGTAAAGATATTTTTAGTAGCTCTCGTATTTATTACTCGTATCAATTGGAAACATTGACGAACAGGTGGAACATCAGTTCTTTAGTGAAAAAGGAAAAATAACCCAGAAAATACATGAAATATTTATGTTTTCTTAGAGACATAATGTACCATAGAAAAAAACCCTCTTAAAGTGGTTCTAGCCTATCAACAAAGGCCATGAAAACTGAGAGTACCATATTGGGCCAGGGCGATGCGACGTCGCGGTCCTGTTTTGATGGATCTAACTGGTGCAGCCTTCTTCTAATAGTCCGGGAGCCGGAGACATTGAAAGTACCGTCATCGCAGAATTTTAAAATTTTAAAAAAATTGATATTTGACAATTATACGAGCAAAATGGTACGCGTTAATTTACTTAGCCGAAAGTGTATTAAAAGAATATTTATAATAAAAAAAGAAACCATTACCATCATCGTGAATTTTAAAGAATTGTACTGTATTCGATAGCAAATTTGTTAATTTAAAAGAAAAAAATTAGCTTACTTATTTAAGGTAGGTACTAATTTTTTTTAGCCGAAAGGACGTGGAATACTTAAAGGATGTAAAAGAGGGTAAAATTTCACCATTATCGCGTAGACACTTTTTTTTAATCTTACGTGTTTTAATGTGATTAATAAAAATATCTTGGTATGCACGTCTAAAAACTACCGGAAGTATCATCAAGTTTAATAATTTTATTTTGGAATAAATACTTTTAGGAAGTTACTATTATACAATTGTTTAAAATATTAATTATTTTTAAATTTTAAATAAACCAAAAGAATTATTTTACTAGATTCTTTTTATCATTTTTATCCTCATGCATGTTTACTTTAAAATTATTTAACTTGGTGATTTTTATAATTGATGTAAAGGAAGCCGAACTGGTATGTCAAATACATCCGGCAGTTTTTAAACATGCATACCAAGATATTTTTGTTAATCACATTAAAACACGTTAAATTAAAAAAAGTGTACTCGATAATGGTAAAATTTTACCCTCCTTCACAACCTTTAAGTATAGGTATGCCAGGACCGTTCGGCTAAAAAAAATTGGTAAGCCAATTTTTATCGTTTAAATTAACAAATTTCCTATCGAATACATTACAATTTTTTAAAATTCACGATGATGGTAAAACATTTTTTCTGTTTTATTATAAATAATTTTTTTAATATACTTTCGGTTAAGTAAATTAACGCGTACCAAGGCCATTTTGTTCGTATAATTGTCAATTATCATTTTTTTTTTTAATTTTACAATTCCGCTATGACGGTACTTTCAATGTCTCCGGTTCCTCGCTTATAAGAAATTCTATACACAAATTGTCCTAAAATTTCTACACCAACTGAAACACTATTTCGGTACGTGGCCAGCTCGTATCCAACCCCGCATTCGAATTTTTGTTAAAATAACCCTAATAACTGTTATTTTTTATTATTTAAGTCATACACGTTATACTATATTCACAGGTCATTTACCTTTGAATAAGATGATTCTTGGTTTTAGAATTAACTTGGCGTTATCTCTATCTCGATTTAGCTATAATCATCGAATTCTAATTTTCAAATTTCGGCTTGTTTTTGGTTTAAATAGCATTTACAAAATGATTCCTTTGTCGTTGTTATGCTGGTTGCTATGCAATCGTTCAGCATCGTAAAGTATTTTGTATATATTCGATTTTTTTGAATTGGTCCATGTATACTTTAATCTTGTTTATTTGTATATATTGTAGTTTAAATATGAAATATTCTCAATTTTTACCCACTACACATTACCTCAAATTAATGAGGAAAAATTTGAGGTAATGTGTAGTGGGTAAAAATTGAGAATATTTCATATTAAAACAAACTCACTTCGGGAAGATTTCCACATTGTATGTATATTTATATTCAGTATATAGTTACATTAGTTCGACGGATCTGTGACCTAATAAGTACGGTTTGTCGTTGTTGCTGTTGTCATCTCTCGTAGCTTAGTGAACAGAGCATTGGCGCGTAAAGCCAAAGAGCCCGGGATCGATTCCCGGCGGGGTTGTGACAACAGCAACAAATTTTTCCTCATTAATTTGAGGGAGTGTGTAGTGGGCAAAAAAGAATTCAAGAAATGAATTTTCAGAATAATATTTCATATTAAACTAACTCACTTCTAAAAGATGTTTAAAAAATTGTATGTATGTTTAATCATAGTATATATTAGTTCGAAGGATTTGTGACCTAATAAGTAGGGTTTGTCGTTGTTGCTGTTGTCATCTCTCGTAGCTTAGTGGTCAGAGCATTGGCGCGTAAAGCCAAAGAGCCCGGGTTCGATTCCCGGCGGGGGTGTGACAACAGCAACAAATTTTTCCTCATTAATTTGAGGAAGTGTGTAGTGGGCAAAAAAGAATTCAAGAAATTCATTTTCAGAATAATATTTCATATTAAACTAACTCACTTCTAAAAGATGTCTAGAAAATTGTATGTATGTTTAATCATAGTATATATTAATTCGACGGATTTGTGACCTAATAAGTACGGTTTGTCGTTGTTGCTGTTGTCATCTCTCGTAGCTTAGTGGTCAGAGCATTGGCGCGTAAAGCCAAAGAGCCCGGGTTCGATTCCCGGCGGGGGTGTGACAACAGCAACAATTTTTCTTCATTAATTTGAGGTAATGTGTAGTGGGTAAAAATTGAGAATATTTCATATTAAAACAAACTCACTTCGGGAAGATTTCTACATTGTATGTATATTGTAGTTTAAGTTAAAATTAAGATCCAAATTTATCTCACAAATATGTAGTTTTTGGGACATATTTATGACACTATTCTAAGTAGGTACCAAACTTCTGGAAACGTCGCGTCGGTATTCACTGGGTATCTAAGTGCATATCAACAACGACAGCGACGAGCAAGGGGTTATTTATCTCTTAGGGGTGATGTCAGTTTGTAGAGTCTATTTAAGTCAAATGCAAGAAAAATTAGTATTAAGTTTGATTAAAGCACTCAAAACCTCAAATAGTTAAATTCAATTATTTAAGTATCTTTCAAATTAATTATACAGGCATTAAGCTAATTGAGTGTATATTGTGTAAATGAATTGTTTATAGAAGATCAGTCCGTTTTTATCGACCAAAAATGCACCAAAAAAGTCTTCGGCGGGATACCATTAACCATCGATATCAAATAATTCTCATATGCTTCAAATTGCACTTATTAGATTTATATTACTTTATTATTTGTATGAAAAGATATCTGTAAGGGTACTTACACGAATTTTTCTATACAACGTCAAATTTTTCAAAAGATAACGCCGTTCTGTCTTTATATGAGAGAAAGTTTTTGTGGAATACTCATATTTGGTCATAGTAATTCTAGTGTGACGGCTTTGTTTGGGGTGCAAGATAGTATATCAGTGTTAGTAAAGTAAATTAAATAGACGCGATTGCGGCTTTTTTGTAATATACAGGGAGTAATAGAAATATGTGTCGAGCATTGGAGGGTGTAAACTAGATGCAATAAACAACAAACAGTGCATGGTGAGTTCAGTACCGTTGTTAAGCGCAAATTGTTTTTTAAGAAAATCACAATAATTTACAATCCGAAGCCGTTCCTGTGCGTGAATTGGGAACATAGAATACCGAATAACGTAGTGGGATAAGTACTGTTAAGATCCAGGAATCGGGGAACGAAAATAAAGAACTTATAAACGTTCGTTGGTTCGGATCTGGTTCGATTCACTAGTTACTGTATTATCACAATCACGAACATTTAGATTCACTTAGCAATTGTAATAATTTTTGATAACTTCTCAAGTGAAAAGGAGCTTAATAATTACGATAAAAACTCTATTAAAGTTATTAGGTTTATTCAGAAACGACAAATTATTAAGACTGACTACAAAGGTAAATGCAGGGGTTTATATAGCACACCCTTAGCATCTTGAGGGATGCGAGATGTAAATGTGGGTGGGGATGTACTGTCTTCTTAACAGTACTCTGCCGCTACATGGATGGAGAATGTAAACATTACCGATAATCGAACGTCTAAGATAAACATAAACAATTTAGTTCTACACATAAGTTTTATACTAAATCAATTAAATAAGTACATTACAGGTGTAAATGTACGAACACCAAAAAAAGGAAAAATATGTAAAGTTACATAAACATTAGCCAGGAAATGAGCATCATCTGGATACTGTATTGTAGTATCGGAGGGGTCGTTTGGCGTAGGAGAGATTTACTATTAAACATCTGTTTTCATTTTATTATTGTATCTTCAGCGCAACCATTGTCCAACCATTTCCAAAGACTTAAACTAACTACAAATGTACAACAATAAATAAATAACACAAATTATTAGGTAGGAGCCGCGAGTCACTAAGGGAGCTTAAGTTAAACGGTTGCATCTTTACTCTTCCTGCAGTTCCGGGAGGAAACTGTGCTGTATGTGGATTCGGTGGTTCGCTCTGTAAGGGGAAATTTCGGTACAGGGTTGTAATCGTCAACCCAACGCCGACGATTCCCCCATATGGACAATTGGATCACTTCTTCCTCTCGGCTTCCTGCCCGCTTCTCGGACCTCACTTAATCTCCCTCGCGGACTTCACTTCGTCTCTCTCTTTTTCTCCTTTAGCTTTGCTCTTTTCGCAAAGTCGACTCAATGTATCCCCGGAACCATATCAAATACAATTACATGTAATGGTTCCGCGTTTTGAAAGTTATGCAGACCTAATTCCATGAAAATGAAAAATATAATTTTGGAAATTACGAACGCGTATGTGACAATATTGCGATTTTAATTTCACACCACCATTGGGGTACTGCCAAAGCGCATTACTTTTTTAGCTAAAGGGTCAAATGAGTCTCCGTAAATTTCATACCACATATTTACTGAAAGTAGTTCTCGAGATCGCGTAGAATGTATGACTCGCACCGTTAGTGATTACTGTGAAAATTCAAAGTTCCATCCTGCGTGAAGCACATTATTTATTTTCGAAACCACCAACACAAATTCACTCCCGGCTGAAATTTTTGTTTGTTATTATTATTCACCCTATTTTATTTTGTATTATATTGGAAATTTCCATAATTTCAAATGCATACAAGGTAGTCAAATATCTCTTGAATGTTTTGAAAGCCGATTTGGTCCCTATGGTTATGTTCTGTGAAGGTCTACGACGGCACAACCTTTGTTAATTTTATTATGGATGCTCTTCAATTGTATGCGGTTACAGGAATTTAATAGCTCGAGGTAGCGTCATACCTTGTTGGGTTTTTCCCCTTATTAGCTTCTGGTTCGTATTCTTTTGTAGCATACCAGGTATTGGTGGTAGCACCAGAACAATTTTTGATTTTGTCACATAATTTAGACCTAGTTAAGTTTTGTCCTTCTTCTTGGTAACTTGCGTTTTTAAGTCACATTTTTCTTCGATGTGCCTGTAGTTGTAATCCGTTATTTCCTAGTTAATAATTCATTTTCAAATAAAGTCCGTTTATAATGTTTTATATTGAGTTTCATTCGCTTGTTTAAATCCAACATTTTGAGAAAATACTGCTCATGATATCACGGCAAACACAAGGCTTCCACTCACTGCAAATGATAAGGACGTAGCAACTGCCCCTTGAAAATTTGCCACACTGCTACATCTAACGTTCTCTGTTATTTCGCGTGTATTATTTTAGGGATTTTCTTCTTTAAAATCGAGGATCGATATGGTTCAAACCTGTAAATACGTATCATGTAACAACTGTTCTACAGTAACTTACACTAATAATTGATGTTGTATTGCTAAATAAGTTTATTGGACTGCACATTAATTGTCTAATACAATACAATACAAGATTTAAACTTTAAAAAGTAAACGGGTACTGGAGGCACTTATTCCTGTTACACCCCCTGTATACAAGTGAAGACACAACACACTATTTACACTTTTTTGCTGGGCTTTCGCTGGTGAAGAATCATCATTTTAAGATATAACATCGAGTTGAAATAACAAAGAAAGGAATGGAAAACAAGAGATGTGCGATGACGAATTATGGAAACGGATATAGTAGAAGTGTAGAGTTCTACAAATGGGGAGTAATGGGAAATAGACATATAGTTGATTGAGAAATTATTATAGTAAAATGGATTATGGTTCAGTTTGCGTATTTATTGAACAGGCTACGCATTTTTGGTGTTAACATATTAAAATGTTTGAATGCTGCATATTATACCCCTTTTTAACGTTTTTTTTAATTGATTTTACTTCTTTTCCAGGTCATCCTGGTCGGCCCCACAGTCAACTTCTACACCAACACCATCAACACCACGCGTTTAACAACGGCGGCGGACCACCATCATCAGGTCAACATCATCAGCATATTAACAATAACAATAATAACGGCTCTGTTAAAATTTGTTCGGGTTGTGGTGAAAAAATTATTGAACGATATTTTCTGCACGCGTTAGACGGTTATTGGCATAATAGTTGCCTGAAGTGTTCTGTTTGCCACGCAATGCTCGCGGACATGGGTTCGTCCTGTTTCACCAGGGACAACATGATATTATGCAAGGACGACTATGGCAGGTGAGTCTAATAAATATCGAGTGACATTGAATGTAAAATAATCTGGTTGTCATCCCCGTTATATACAGTATCATACGGGTATGTTACGAATGATTTGATGAAATAATTATTAAACCGATGCCGATGGTTGAATCGATTTATATACTATGCCGAATCAATTCAATGGTAAATGTCTAGATGATGGTCCTCACCCCCGAAGGGGGTGGGGGTGGGTGGGATCGAAAGAGGAGGTCTCCCCCACCACTGTACCATAAAAAGTTCGTGGCGGTCTCACCCCCATAAAAAATTATGGGGGTTGAAAGTTGATTATTTTGACAATTTTCATACACTATAATTAAAATAAAATTCAATAAAAAAATTATTTTCAAGCGGGTGGAGGTGGGGGATCGAAAGAGGGTGATCACTTGAACAAAACCCGATAACCTAACCTAACCTACCCTATTGATAAAGCTATTTAAGTAATGTTTTATATAACTTTCTCAATATTTTTATGTATTTTTCATTAGTTTTACCTTTGAATGTTGTTTAAGAATGACTATATAAATATTTACATGCCTAGAAATGTATAAAAATTGGCGTCTTTATTAACTTTCAACCCCCATAAAGTTTTATGGGGGTTAGACCACCACGAACTTTTTATGGTACATTGGTGGGGGAGACCTCCTCTTTCGACCCCCCCCCCCATCATCTATACTTTTACCAATTCAATTACTAACAGGATGTTCTTTCTTTTCCACAAAGAGTTGTAATAACGTGTCCTGTTTAACAAGAATATTTTCGAGCTTTTAACGACGTCACAATAGTATTTTGCTAACAATCCAATTGGAAAATCATCCCATTGTAGCGGGAAATTTTGATATGGGAACCATAACTTCACTGCGTTACCCTGAAGATTATGGTCTTCGGTCTCTCTTTTAAATCTATTCGACGTCTTTCGAAATATTCGTTAGTATTGAAGTGAAAATTTGAATGTTGAATAAAAAATAAAAAAAACAATTGTGTGGTTTTATGAAACCAAGTTGTAAGTGAAACTTTTCGGATTGTAGGCATTTAACTGTAAATTTTCGGAAAATTATTCGAATTAGGGTATTAAAATTAAAATTGCGTTCTTAATCTTATCTTAATTATTGGAAAATGAGAATTATAATGGAAAATCAATAGTAGACAAGATATCCAACTATAAATTTTAGTTTCAATCTACGTATGAGAGTACGGAATACATAACATATGCAATGATTCAAATGATAGACGCATGTTAAAAACAGAATAATATTAATTTAAATTATTAATTTATTTTAAACTTCAGTTGTTCTATCAATAATTTCATCTTCGCTTTGAGTTTCACAGTCTATAAATGTAATTGGTATGCACTTGCACGAACGAGTGAGAATATAAATGCTACACGGTTAGCTCATGCAAGCCATGAGCGCCTCCATATTGGTCTTGGCTGCTTTGCCAAGCGCCTTTCAGTTTTACCTCTACTCCGCGGCCGGCTGTAATGCGACATGAGATAGATGGACGAAAAAATTTGAGGCGATGTACCATAATAAAAGTTTCATTTTAATAAACAATCTAAAGAAGTCTTAGCGTTGATGGTCAAGGCTCCCATAACCTTTTGAAATCAATATATTCATTAAAAGAAACATATCTGATATATACCTGGAACACGGTAAACTACGCAGGGATTAAAGTAAATACACATTACAAACAAAGTTTTAGTTGCAATAATAAAGGATTAAAACTTACCAGTGGAGATACTTTATTCACCTACACATCCGTACATGTCGAATGACGTGATCAAACTGTCCGCCAATGAGAGCACGTGAGTGGCTCGCGCGCCGTTTGTTGTTAATTTCAAATCAATGCTCTTAGATTTAAATTTTCAACGACACGGACTTTATCTACATTTTTTAACGGATGTAAAATGTCTAGACGTAAATTACGAGGGACAAAAATTGCGTAAGTATTTTCTTTTAATGAAAATAAAAGTAATTTGATTTTTTGTATCATATTTACCATTGCTACTAACGCTTTATGAAATAAATAATACTGAAATTTCTAATTAATTAGAAATGTATTAAATTACACTGATTTGCGAAATAGTAAAAGGACAGGCCAGGTTATGAAATGTTGATTAAGGCATTGAAATTTACTGGTAACAAATTTTCCACAAATTTTCAACTAATGTATGGTTTTCTCATTTAGCCACCACTAGTACATCTTAACGTAGAATCACCCATATACCAAGTGACAGTTTGTTTCTAAATTCACCTGCTAATGGCGGCCATTTTTTTTTTGGGTTGTGTTCAACGGTAGTTGAATAATATTTTAAGGAATGTGCAATTAATTTATATAATGTACCTATAAGATTTAATTAAACCAGATACCACTAGATTAGATGTTAACTCAGAAATAGCTTACTTCTTTTTTTTTTTGTATTATTTGGATCAACTTTTCGATTTTCATTATACGACGAGCCAGAAAGGGTTAGGAATAATTAGTGCAAACTGTCGGCATTGGTGTCATGAAGATGTTAATAGTGTAACATCGAATAAAGCTTCGAAGCCATGGGCACGAGGTTGTTGCAGGTGATTATACACCTGTAGGCGCTGATTTAAATGCAAATTAAAAGTGTCTTTCAATTTGTATCTTATCTTGCTTTTTCTAAAATTAATGCCTCTATAAGCCTATAATTGCATTCTCGAAAGGAACTTCACATACAATAATTATTGTAAGGAAAATCACGCTCCACATTCTGTAATATTCACTTAATCGGTAAATAATTACTTTTGTAATGAATATTTTAAGTTAGAAAAATAATCATTGTGTGTTCATTTGTCTTATATGGTGCATTCTAATTTGGACAAGACAGAAACTGTTTTAAGAAAAACAATTGAATTGTCTGAAAGGGTTTCGTGGTTTGTTTAATTTTTTAAAGTGGAAATATTTGCTATCATTCCTAGTTATGCTAGAATTCTTTTTTCTATTCGAAAACTGACAAAGTTATTTTTTAGTAGAAGATAGTAAAACTGCTCTTTCTTATAAACACACCAGAAATATTTACTGTTTTTAACTTTTTTATCAATTTTTATTTCAAAAATTCTTATCTGCCAATGGAAGTCTTTCATTGAAAAAAGTAAATTTCTAAACTAGTCATTTCTTCTAATTTTCCACTAAAAACTTTCTTTTTTTCTTCACATTCTTTTGTAAATATATTTTAGTGATATCAAATTAAGGGGCCAGGTACATCTTCGAAAACTTTTTTTACACCTTACTCTCTTCTAGCACCTTTAAGTCTTTCTTTTTTTTTTACATAACGCCAACATAATTTTCCATTTTTTCTTGACTATTTCCTATTACAATTACAACCAGGTAAACATATATGTTGTTAGCAGTAATTCACCGAACGGCATGGCATAGAGGTTTAAACCGTTGCGTAATATTCAAGAGGACGCCGCGCTTGTTCGATTCCGGGTCCATCTGCCTTGGCCCAAGTGTTTCTGTGGTTTCCTTGGATCACTTAAGCAAATGCTGTAGCAGTAATATTTCACAGATAATCTTTGATTCTATTCTTCCTTCATTTCGTCCGTTTCATCTTTCTCACACGAACCGCCACCCACCCATTCCCACTATTCCTGAAAGGAGGCTGAAGAGGGTCTTCCTTCCGTCCTACCTTCCGGCTTATTTCGGAGGGAATGTCCATTACTGGCTGGTGGGAATGAATCACCAAATAGTTTTTGTTTAGCAGTAATTAGATATTTTTCGTGATTCTAGCACCAGAAGTTTGACATCTGCGGAAACCGTCTGCCGATAACAGTGCCGAATTTGTTAATTTTTAATTTTCGTAACTTATCGTAGTCATAGAACAAAAATAATAATGTGATTTGAAGATTGAAGTTAGAGGTTATAAAGGATATATTATTGGGTTATGTAAAAAAAAGATGAGTTATGATTAAAATAGTATTGTGAATGAAGAGTTTCGACAGGGATGAAACGGAGACGACCAGCGTCTAAATATTGTTGCATTGTTGCCAAATCTCCAAGAACTAACAATAAGCAGTATTTTCTTATAAGTGAGAGGTAGACAGCGTATATTGCAGAAACAAAATTGAAAAGCCTAAGTTTTAGCAATACCTTTTTAAATCCATCTTAGTTACACAACGGTGCAAACGGGCATCAAATTATTGAAACACGGTTTTGCATCGTCTGCTTTTTTGAGAGCTTCAAATATATACTTTTTATTGTGAAATCCGAATTAGCAAGGTTTTTTTTCCGATGAAACGTAGCACGCCTTATAGATTTTAAATAGCTTAAGAATAAGTGATGTTTGACTAATCTTATACCGTCTGCCATTTTCATAGAATGAAAGTAAAAAAAACAAAAATCCGGCCCTCGGTTATCAGTAGACGGTTTCCAGTGATGCCAAACTTCTGCTGCTTAAAACAAATAGGCCGTAAAATTGTGTATCTCACAATAATCTTATAACGTTTGCCAATACGTAGGTTATGTTTGAACTGATGTTGTTCTGATTCGGGTTTATAGGTCGTCATGTGTTAAAGTTTGTGTTCCGAAATATAATCCAGCATACAGACTGACCAGTACCGATGACGTCATGAATCGACACCATGCTGTTGACGTCATATTGAGAATAGTGTTTGTGCTCATTTACAACAATTTTGCTCCAAAAGTTGTTAAAGTTTCTTACAATAAAAAATTCCTCAAAGTCTGAAGCACACGCCCGTTTGGTATACTACCACGTTTCATTTGTCTCACCAGTACAATATGGTGGCACACCTGTACAATATGGCGTTGATTCATGATGTCCTCAGCACTGGCCAGTATGCTGGGTTATATTTCGGAATACACCTGGGTTGCTTCTGCCTTATAAAGGTGGTAAGTCCAACACCCGATGTCCTATAGACCCGAATCAGAACCGAATCAGTTCATCTACTGGCTGCGAAGGCCTTTAGTAATTGATTATGGTTATTGCGGAAGTGAAA